AGAGAGAGAGAGAGAGAGAGAGAGAGAGAGAGAGAGAGAGAGAGAGAGAGCGCGCAATATCGCGGACGAACGCGAAAGGAGAATGCAATTAATTTCAGGGAAAGCGATTGTGAGGCTCGAAGACTCTCAATATAGGAGCGAAAGACACAGTGAGAAATAGACGGGGCGAGAGGCAAAAGGGGGGAGGGAGAAGTAAGAGGAACGGGTGGGTAAGACGGGTGGCAAGGAAGACATCCGGTGAACGATTGGACGGTTTCCTCCAACTGTTCCTTGCGGGGCAATCTAGTGGTAAACTCACTTACCGGTTTTGGGAATTTCGATAACGCAGACGTTGCCTTTGACTACGCGAAATTTGACTGCGGGGACGCGAATCGATCGTAACCTCGTGCAAAAAACTGCACACAACCGATGAGAAGTGATGTAACGTAAAAACGCATATGGAGTTTACTTTCGATCAGAATATACTGATCTCGCTGATTCATAGTAAGATCTTATCGGCACTTCGTTCTCACGAAAAAATTTCTTAAAAGAATAAATCTTCATGATTATCTCAACGTGAGACAACTGATGATGGCTCTTTCAAGTGTCTTTAATTGTAATTAATGAAGCGAATATACACTATGCTGAATCGATTATTAAATTTACATTATATAATAATGTAAATTTTTTATTATATTGACGCGGCAACAAATTCACGAAAAGTCGTACCCAAATTTTCATGTTTTATATGACTTTGTCATAGTTGCTTAGAGTACATTTTGATAATTTCTTTCGTGTTTTTATTTCATCAATATATGTGACAGATGTAAGGGCTATATGGACCACTCATAATGGATCCAATCTTTATAAATCAATTAGTAAATTACGCACACTTCACTGTAAACCCAAATGTATTATTCTGACAATCTCTCTTTACACACTGAGAAAAATAATTAAAGATTTGTCTGTGTGATGTAAAGTTTATTTTATTACAAAAATAAATGTTATATTCCACAAATAAATGTTCAAATATTTTTTTCTCAGTTTCTTATCATTTTAAGTCACGTCACTTAATACGTTTGAATGTATTAAATTGTAATTTATACACGTCTTAGACGTATTAAATGACGTAACTTAACGATTAGTAACATGTAAAAAAAATTTCAATTAAATTACACACTTATACGTTTAAAAATGACACACTCGAATTTGCTGCGTTAGCTATTCAGAATAGAATAATCACGGATAATTATTAAAAAAATTAAATTTCTCAAAGTCAATATTAATAAGTCTTTAATATTAACAAAGATTAAAAAATGAATTTTGAATCATTGTAAACCTTGACATAACCAAAATAGAAAAACTAAATTTATTAAAAGAAAATGTTTCTATGATAAGTTGAAGTAATTAATATAGTATATTAATATACATGAAAAATAAGTTATAACGCGTTCATCTTTGTGTACGTTCACATTATATGAACAAAAATGTCCCAACGACATTCCTTCCGAGTTACTTTAACTACTCTTCCATGAATTTCTTTTTACTATTCTTTATGTTATTTTTACAAAATTATGTTTGAAGTTAAAATAACAAACATGAACGTAAGAAAAAAAAGTCGATGAGTGTCTATTAATTAACATTCACAATTCATCGATAAGTAACACACCATGAATGCGGTATTGTTACACTGAAAAAAAAAAAAAATTTAAAAATTAACAAATATCTTTTAGATAGGTGCTATTATATTTATTATATTATATTTATTATAAATCAAAATTCTTTTCATTTAAGTAAATATGTTAATGGCACCCTAAGAAATATTTGTTAATGTTTAAATATCTTGTTTCTCAATGTACAGAAAAGTTAGAGTGGACTTTCTGGGATATATAAAAAATATTAAAATTAACATTTAATTTTTTACTGTGTATAAACCACTCGTAAGGGATGCAATGTTCACAAATCGACTAATAAAAGGTCGTTGCTACCAAATTCACGTACACCTGTCTCATCTGGGCCCTTTCTCTGGGGAATCGAATGACGAAATAATCGAAACGTCAAGATCTCGCGGCTTTACGAGCGCGAAACAAATTGCAGTTTCCCGTTTGTGCGCGGTCGTCTCTCTGCCGGCGGGAAAGCGCAGGTATTGATATTAACGAGCGCATCCGGAGCCGGAGTCACGCTGTGTCGAAGTTCCATTATTTGTTCATAATTTCTCCTCGAGATTTTCCTTTGATCGCAATTAATCGTCGTCCGCAATTAGCCGTCGCGATGGCACGGCGCCCGTAATCCGCGCGAGCCGTGCGCGCTCGGACATAAATTTTAATTACACTCACTAATACCGCCTTAAATGTTTAATACGCCCGTCGATCTGCTATGTATACATATTTACTGACGGCAAAAACGAGGTTCGCCGACGCCCGAAGGATATTTCAATCGCGCTCACGGAACAGAAGTTGCACGGCTCATTTCGCGGATATTTGATATGGAAAATATTAATGTAACCGTAACATACGATTTATATGTGCAATTAATCTTCCAATGGTAATCCTAACAATTCAATCAAATAATATAAACAAACCAATGAAACTGAGATGTTCGTTTACCTTTCGTTGATATCATGTGGTTGAATATAAACGGAGAGAATTTTATTGTAGAAATTTTTTTATAATATTTTGAAACCGAGAAAAATATATTTGCATTCTCCCTCAATTTGTTATTCTTTCGTTTCATGTGTACTTTATTTATATTTAGTAACTGGACGACTATAAAAGTTTCATTTAATTAATTGATTTAATTCATTTAGTTATATAATTTAATATATATTTAATTACATTTAATTTATTAGTCTAATATTAAAATTTAACTCTTAATTGTTTAATGTACTGTGTTCCCTTTAGCAACAAATAAGTTTTGATAGTCTATTGCTATGCCACTGTGTGAGACGAAAGATTATTTGAAAAATAAGAAATATTCTACTGATACTAATAACATATAATATAATATTTTTACTACAAACTATTGCTTTCATGAAAAAGTTACATTAAAAAAAATGTGTATTTTCTCATTAAAAAAAAAAGCTTTTTTTTTTTAATTTCTTCTCGGTGCAAGAATACCTTATATTAGTACATGATAAAAGAAATGTCTTATTGTCGAAGTGAAAATTTGATATATCGAGCCATAAATTGATTAGAAAATGGAATAAAATCAACCAA